AGAATCTCATCCGTCTGTTTGTTTTCCTATAAAATCGGCATTGGAAAACTTACTTGGACTTCTCAAAAAAGTAGAAAAAAATCGGCGTCCTCCCTTCCCTGCGTTATTCTCTTATTATTAAAAATAACTTTAAGTACTTCCATTTGTAATTTAGAAAGAGACACTTTCACTGGCAAAGCTAATGATGAATGGTCTTCTCTCATAAATAAAACAAGGAAACATTTTGAGTGAAAGTTATAAGATGTTGCATTGCAGGCAGCAGGTTATCGACCGACACCGTCATCAGCTTGTGCGTACATCGTAACAGGATAATCAATTTTTTTTTCTTTTTCTTTCTTTTTGTAGTAAAGTAGGGATAGTAATTTCGACGGCTGAAAAGTATGATTGAGCTATGCGTCAGAATAGCTGAATATTAAAAAAAACGGAATTTTTTTGTTCGGGATGTTGACTGCATGAGGTTAATCGGGGAAAATAGGAAGATGGGAAAAGGTCAGGTTCTGACTGCGTGACGCCCACCTCTGTTGTCGTATTTTCAAGCAACTTCCGCATCACGCTGCCGTGCCTCTGTTACGTAACGTAACACTTCCATCATGCGAAATTCGAATTTTGCCCCAAATAATTAAACCCTCATAAATTGAAGTGGGGTGCTTTTTCGCAAATTTTTGATGAAATAATTAAAAATAAAATGTAAATGAAATTAGGTTTTTATTTTAATATAATTAAAAATGATCAGAATTGTTTCGATGTAAGCTCGTATTCGAAAGAGCGCTCCTTTTTCACTGTAATATCAAACGAAAATCATGGGTCGACGTACAGGAATCTGGAGAGTACTTAAATGTATGGATCGTATTCGATACATCAAGCAGGTGCGATTGTATCGATATCGATTGGTTCAACATGTAAACATAGCCTCAAAAGTCATTTGATCACTTTGAGGGAACAGGTTTCTCGTGATTAGATTTTTGATTCTTATGAGTATAAAATGGCAATAAAAAGTGAAATTGGTAGGAGTATTCTCATTTCTAGCTTTTCCAACTTAAATCCTAAAATTTTCGTTCGAGGTTATGTTCTGTTGTTTGAACCGAACGATACATCGAACCACTATCGAATACGATCTATTAAACATTAAATTCACGCTTCATTGATTTCTCAATTTTTCAAACCTACGAAGAATATTCCTTTTGAGGCAGTTCCTAGCGTGTCATGACATTTACCTTGTATCTACGTTCTACGTACTTATTAAAATAATGACGAAAGCCTTGAATGGAGAGGTAATCTCCGTATCGCAATAGCCATTGTTTCAATGTTTCATGCATGCAATATGCAATGATAAGGCCCGCTTGAGCCAATTTTATTTTTTTCTACGGGATTTCGTTCATGGCGAAACCTAGTAGGGATGGAGTTTTCCTCATGCAGCTGATTCGCGTGGACCTAGGAAAAATTGACAAAAAATAATCAGCGGCGCCACCGCTCCAATCAGGGTGTCTAGCAAGTAAGAAAATCAAGAATACCGCGAATGATTTGGGAATTTTTTGGCATCAAGGAAAACCCGGAAAAACGCCCTAAAATTCGCGGAAAATGTGAAAGTCATTGAATTTTTCGTGGAACCTCCAAAAATTCACTTTCACGTCTGGAAAATTAGAGAATTTCACAGAAATATCATTACTTACATCTATTCCTTTCTGAGAATTTCTGATAATTAGGGATTTTTTTCATTTTGTTCGTAGACCTCATTAACCTACGAGGGAATTTTTCTTTGCCAAATGCTAGACGCCTTATCACGTGAGGTAATTGCTTAGTGTCATTGGACTACATTTTGAGATCGGGAACTACAATTTTTGGCTGAGTTCAGAAACAACGCATGTGGCATTAGTTTCCCTATGCACATAAGCGCTTTTTCAGACAAGTCAGAAATTTTAGCTCCTTATTGCGAAAAGGCGTGTAATTAGGAGGCTATAGGTGTGTCATGAGGTCGTTTATAGGTGCCAAGCAAAAGCGTAATTTTGAGACTTCATCAAAAGTACAGGATTGCGTCTGCATGGAGTTCTTTGAAGAACACACCTATAGTTACCTGTGTTGACTATGAGAACGCAATAAAAATACCGAAGCAGCTTGTTATCATTTGTGAATTTTGACCAAATGTGAGTGGTTATGTTTTACAGTCATTTTCCCTCAACATCCTATAAATAAACTGTCGGCGTCGGCCCGCGCCCAAAACAGCGTTGCCTAAAAACACCGGAAAGCATCCCGTTTCCCGGGCGTGACAAGCATCGTTCGGCAACGGTGCCCAAAAGCCCATTGTTAGATGATTGGCCCATGAATCCGCGGCTATTTCAAGTGAAGCATTCGTCGCGTCACGAGGCTCCTCAATGAAGAGCGCCCCCCCCCCCCCCCCCCNCTAGTTCCTCTTTAAAAGTAAACATCGATTTTCGTCTTTCAAAAATACCCTGCGCACCCTTCGAAAATATTTTCAAAATTGCGGCAATATCTTGTACATAATATCGTTGAAAAATATTTTTGACAAGATTTTTTAACGACTTTTTTAACACGGGAAGGTGCAAAAATAATTTCAAAAGAACTTTGCAAAATTTTTGTTGAAGTATTTTTCTCAATACAACGTTGTACGTCGTATTATATACGTAAACGTAACGGGGAGAACAATAAATCCAGCACGGTTGCAGTATTCTACGTACGATTTAACATTGATTTTCGTTCTATATTCGAAAATTGCGTCAAGGTGCTCCAAAGTTTTGAGGATTTTTTTTGTTGGAAGTAATCCTTGCAGGGTGTCTGCCAGAAGTCCCCAATGTTCCCGATTATTCCCGATTTTAGGAGGGTGTCCTCGATATCCTCGAAAGTCCCCAATTTTCTTGTTCAGGTCCCCAATCAATGACAAAAATCGCCCTAAACACCGGCATTTTCAAATTTACCCGTCAGCCGCGGCGGCGCGGTGCGACCAAGAATAAAAAAAAACTAGTGTTGATTGGTTTTTCGTATGTTCTCATCGGTTCTCCATGACTTGTAAAATTAGTCGTTAGTCTTTTAACGTTCTAACTAGCTCCCTTTCTCTTACTATTTCGGGAAAAAAAGTCCCCGATTTTTTTTAGAACGTAATTTTGAAGTGTGAATAAAATTGACCGTATTCTGCGGTTGATAATATCCCTAACCCTAGTCCGGGAGTGCTAGAATCTGTTTACACGTCGCAAAAATTTTCGAGCCATAATAGTGAGGCCTATCCTTTTCCCTCTTCTTTTTTTCTAGGACATGAGCTTATCATTTAAGCTGTTTTCAAACAAATGACGTCCGGCAACGGTAATTAAGACCGCGGCAAATTTCATCCCGACGGTCACAGTACTGCCGTGCTAAGGATAAACGCCGTATTATCATTCGAGGGTTGCCAAATTTCCCTTTCTCAAACATGTATTTTTGACGAAACTTATGCATATTTTGTCTTAAAATTTTCAGAAATTTTAGATTAAATTGCGTACAAAATTGCCTGGACATTTTGGGAAAAAAATATTCACAATTTTAGACGTAAATTGGTATTTTATCGGAGGAAATTTGGCAACGCCTTAAGGCTCGTACGGCGTTTTTCCTTAGCAGCGCAGAGTAGGGAATAGGCGCATTACCGTGGCAAGTCTATTGCCCTCTTCGCCAGACAGTAAGCGGCCGGCTTTCGGCCAGTCCGCGAACACCTGAACCTGATGCATAATTCATATTTCCAAGAGAGTTTTTTTCCGATACTTTTTCGTTTTTCTCTCCTTTTTTCTCAAAGCGCCGCCATAGCCTCGGCTTACTGCTCAGAGAAGCCTATAAGTCAGCATAGCCGCAGTTCAAGGAGAACAAAAGGGCACAAGACAATTTGATCGACCTCATCTATTTTGAGAGTTGAGAAAGAAAAAAGACCTAAGTCGGTTGGATTAAGCTATAGTCGTTGCCGCGACGCTATGCAGGCATTTGTCAATGAGTTAGAGTGCGTTTCATTCACGTAGACGGGAAATTGGACTACATTTTGCAATAAATTCGGACCATTTCTGGCTCATCTGTAAGGGCACGTATGTGCATAGGGAAACTAATGGCACATACGTTGTTTCCAAACTGAGCCAGAAGTTGTAGTTCCAAATTTCCAAATGCAGTCCAATTATAGTCTATTTTAAACCGATTTGACACTGAGTCAACTACAGTGAGGTAGATCTGCTTGAAGATTTTGTAACTTGTAACGTTGAAATTCGTATTTTGAAGTCAAATCATCGATCACAGGGCTACGCCCCCCGACCGCTTTGCGGCTCAGGAAATGATTTGGACGTATTTATGTTAAAAGGAACTATGTACACAGGGTTTGCGTGAGACATAGTTCCTATTGGTCTAAATACGTCCATTTTATATAAAGAATAAGACGTTTTCGACAGAACCTCAAAAATAAACATCTTGATCGATGCTTTAGGAACGTTTAGGGTGTTTATTATTCCGGACTTTCCGGAAATAGTACTGATTTTTTAAGCGCGGTCCAGAAGCACTGAAAGATGGAAGGCCCGGAATTTTTCCTTCATACTGTGCGTGTTTTTTAATGATGCCCGGGAAGTATGTAATTCCCTGCGAGTTGATTCTTAAAAGTAGCATTTGCCTGCAAGATCGCTATTGTGCAGTCAGTTAATCTTCAAGCCACCAATGAAATTTTGTGTCTACGTCATTTTTGTCGCAATTTGAGCGAGAATTTCAAATTTTCGAAATTTTTTGTATTTTGTCAAATGGAGGTCCTGAAAAAGTACTGAACTTTTTTGTTGAAGACGTACTCTTGGAAATGTTTTTCCTAGGAATTTCTCGGGAATGTTCGGAAAAAGCGCTATAAAAGTACTGATTTTTGGCCAGCCTGGTTTTGTAGACACCCTGAACCTCTAACTCTGAACTAATTTTTTTTTTTTTTTTTGGAAAATCGTGTGCAGTATTATTTGATCGATTCCACCTTTTCTGATGTAAAGGTTTTGTTTCTTTTGTTGCAGTTGATGAAGCTAGGGAAAGCTGTGTTTGGCGAGAAATTGTTCTGCCAGATCATGAAACTGACGTTTTATGGTCACTTTGTGGCCGGCGAGGATCAGTACAAGATCGTACCCACCTTGCAGAGGTTACAGTCCTTTGGTGTGAAACCAATTCTCGATTACTCTGTAGAGGAGGACATCTCTCAGGAAGAGGCCGAACAACGAGAAGTAGAGTAAGAATTATTACATACTTTTTCTGCGTATAAGTATAGATTTAATTTTAATAAAGTCAAACGTTAAATTTCCTTAAATAGAGGTCCTGAAAGAGTACTGAACTTCTCTGTTGAGGACGTACTCTTGGAAATGTTTTTCCTGAGAATTTCGTGAAAATGTTCGAAAAAGTATTGTAAAAGTACTGATTCTTGGCCAGCCTGTTTTGTTAGACACCCTAAACCTCTAACACCAAACTAACGGGTAAGTTAACGTTAGAGACTGCCTACACTAGCCTTTCAACGACAGGTGAAAACTCCTTTTCGTAGAGGCTCCACCATTCAACCTCAGTTCTTACAAGTACCTACTTTTTTATCAGAATTAGCTGATGAGTTGCTATTCATCTGGAGAATACCGCCGTTCTGAGAAAAAACACCGTATGAACTTCGATAGTTGCCAAATTTCCCCGTATAAAATATGTATTTTTGAGGAAAGTCACACACGTTTTACTTTGAAGTTTTCAGATATTTTAGATCAAATTGCGAAAAAAATTGTCTGAAAAATTGGAAGAAAAGTATCTAAAATTTTCCAAATAAATTCGTTTTTTATTGAAGGCAATCTGACAACGTCTATTGGTACAATTGGTACATACCACGTTCTTCCTTGGCATGGCAGAATAAGCCTTGTTTTTTTGACTGAACAGGCACCCTAGTCCAACGGGCACTGAATTCTCATCTGAAAGGAAGAAGATATCATAAGTGTGCTCATTAAAAAAAAAAAAAAAAAAAAAGATTCACCTCTAAGGAAGAAATTTGCAAGAAAATCAGAGAATTCACTAGGAAATTAGTTCTCGAAAGCGAAATTCTTCTTCTCTCAACTTCAAAATGAATTGGTTTTTAAATTGGTGGGCCAAGTTGATTTGGCTTCAACAAATTATATCGATGGCCAAAATGGGAAACCACATATCTCAATTGCGGTGTTTCAAAGCCTCCGCTTCAATTTTATTTTTTCGAAGAGAAACACGCCATCTTTATGAATATTCGTAATTCATACAGAGTAAGTCTTTAGTCGTCAAGAAATTACGATGTCTGGTTCTCCAAAGAAGAAATAAAATATGATTGGAAATCTGCAACGTCACAAAAGGAGGTATATGGTTTCGCGCACTTTGGCCATCGATATAAAAGACGAAATCGTTGATTTTTTTCCCATTTAACTTGGGGGATCTTTTCCTTTGAATTTATAGGAAGATGAGAGGTTATCCTGGTTTCTCATCTATGAATTTTTCCGTGTAAATCAAGTAAAATCAGGGAAATATCCCGGAGTGAAAAAACCAACGATTCTAAACACCATGTTCAAAACGATGTACCCAAACTCTCTTCAAATTTGAGAACTTAGTTAACTCTCATGAGAGGTATTCAGACTAATAATAATTTGGCATACTCTCAGTGGATGACAATTTTGAAAGCGAGCCTTAATTGGCTGTATTGTACTTTTGAATTTCACCCGCAGGAGTTCTTCAATAATAATATTGTATTATATGGATTAAATATTGCTGTGATTCTAACTTTGTATTTTTGTTTACAGTGCCAGTTTATCAGAGGTTGAAAAGAAAGAAGCTTCAAGTGGAGTTAAAGCGAAACCAGATGAAGGTAAACTTTCTCTTTAATGCTGATTATTTCCATCTTTTTTATCCTTTATTTATCTATTTATCAAAGAAGTCGCCTAAAAGTTTAAAATTTATTTAGAGCTCTAGTGATCCATGGACTGTATGACTTTATGTATGACTGTATGTAACATTTATTTGGGGGTGCTGTTGGAATTATTTCGACGGTGTTGAATTATGTAGATGTGCTCTTTGCCTGACTGTGAGGATTGTATATTTTTTATAACACTCATCGATTCCAAGTTCCTCGGGCACAAGAAATGATTTACTTAGGAGTGAGAAATAGTGCTGTCAAATCAAGGTGAAAGAAGTTTAATCAGTTTAACCCCCAAAATTTATATGAAGGATTTTACAATGAGCGTGGAGGAAAATGATTTTTTTAAAGGATTTGTCAAATTATTTTCATCAGTCTCAAGATCCTAAATTTAGAAAACTATTCATCAAGAAGAATTGGTAGGTAGTATGTTATTCAAGAAATAATGTTTTATTGATTTCAAAAATCGTTTATTTAGATATATCATTAATTTATAGCAGGATGAAGTACCTAAATCTCAGATTGATATCAAGAACTCAAATTTTTTCCGTCAAGAATTGCGCAAATATCCTCTTTGCCCTTCTCTTTATTCTGAGAATTCCTTACCTTCCCTTTCCTCAGTTTTCGCTGTGTAAGGAAACAAGGGAAAGAACAACACCGTGCTCTGTTTCAGAGTTCTTGAGCCTTTGTGGAAGGGAGATGGTGGAAAACTAACATTGCAGCTGTGGAGATTTTTGCTTGTTTTCCTGCTCATCAGCCTTTGAAAATTCTGGAAAAGAGTACCAATGGATATTAGTACTGAGCAATCTGGATGTCGTAAGTTTCACATAATTTGGTGCAAGAGAAATGGACTACATTTTTCCATAAGGAACTCCTATTTCTTGCTCATTTTAGAAACAGTATGTGTGTCACAAGTTTCCCTATGCAGAAAGGTGCTTCTACGGATGAGCCAGAAAAAGTAGTTCGTCATTGCAAAATGAAGTCTAAGTAATTTTGAGCACGTAACTTTTATTTCCACAAAGCTGTTAGGAAGTCTCTCTCATTCTTAACTTCTTCTCTGTCCAAATTAATTTTGGTGGGTGCTGAGAAATCTCAGTAAAAATATATTTATTGACAGATGAACAGTACTTTCTCCAATATCATTTTTATAAACTAATCATAAGATTCTTCAGGAGTATCGTTTTATTTTTATCTCACTTGTTTTTTGTTCAAATTGAAAAATTATCCTGGCTATTCAGCTCTAGTTTGAGGATATAGTGTGTTTCCGTTTTACGGAGTTCTTATTTTTCAATTATGTTTTCTGTTTACAGCTGCAGAAGTTTTAGGCGCACCTCTACCCCAATACCACGTGGACAAAAACTTTGCCGACAGAAGGTATAAAGTGGCTAGTGCTCGAACATATTTCTACTTGAATGAAGCGACTTGCGAACGAAATGTCGAAACGTTCCAGAATTGTCTCCATGCTGTTGCAAGTTAGTAGATAAAGTGTTTTTATTTGACCATAAAAAATCAGTGATGCCAGAGATACATTGCAGTTTTGTAAGCAACACAAGAATCTCTGGGAATAAAATTTAAGTGAAAATGAAGTTTAATTCTTTGGTGAATGCGAACATCTAGTTAATTTAATTTACCCCCCCCCCCCCCCCCTTCCTTTTTAAAAAAAATGTCCGTTTAATTTTAGCCAACATCATCTCTTACTCATGACATCTCAGTGCTTTTTTATATTTTCTTTTTTAACTGATGTTTGCCATTTACTCCTGCAAGTACATTTTTTTGGTACTTATTTTTATTTATCTAAAGCTGAATGGAATTGCTGTGATGAATGTTATGGCTGCTTCACAGACCTCTCTCGTGTTTTAATCATGAGAGAAGCTAGGGTCAGTGACTGGTGCCAAAAAAATATATTTTAAGATTGACTGAAGATGCAATAGCTCATTAGCCTCCCTTCGTCACCCCCTCCCATTTATATTTTCGTGTTTTTTTGTCTTAACTCTCTTTCAATAAAATCTTCTTTTGCGCTCATATATATGTTTGTTCCTACGTATTTCAGTTATTGCAAAACCATTATGCTATTTATTGGAGTTTTAACAATTCGTTTACTCTCTCCCCTCTCCCCTCTCCCCTCTTTGTCCCTCTTTCTCTTTCTTTAAAATTTAATCAGCTGGCAATTACATCCCTCAAATGCTTGAAGGTGATTCTAATTCTCTGTAAAGTGCGTTTAATGTAAAACTGTAGGACTATTGCCTTGTCTGTGATAACATTTACCACATTTTCACGTAAGTCTACCAATATTGAAAGATAACTGTTGTCATTCAATGCTCCAATTTTATTTTCAAGTAATGAATAAGTAGAAACATTTCAGATGGACAGAAACTTTCTTTTCTTCCATGTATGAATATTTAAGAGGCATTTTTCTCTCTTTTTCAGATGCCACATACGGAACAGGAATTACAGCCATCAAACTAACTGCTCTTGGCAGGCCTCAGCTGCTGGTAAGGCTCTCTGTAGTATTGGACTCTCCCAGTTTACCTGTCCTGTTTTGTCATAGCTAACAAGGTGTCTAGCAACGGGGAAAGCCGGAAAATGTTAGGGAATTTTTTTATCGTGTCAGGAACATCAAGGAAAAGGTCAGGGAATCCGCAAAAATTTGGCATGTCAGAGAATTTTATTTTGCAAGCGATTTTCATGTCTGGGAAATGTCAGGAAAATTGAAAATCATGAATTTTGCGGAAAGTGTTTTCACGAACTATACTCTTGCAAAAATTTCTACCAAATTTGTACCTGAATTTTGGCTGATGTTTTTTAAATTTCAAAAATGATGCAAAAATATCTTGCTTCAGTTTAGGCACCATACTATATTTTGCTCTATTTATGACATTATATTCCTAAAACATGAAAAACATTCTCACTTACATGTAATCAGTTCAACCAAGTCGAAAAATTAGGTATATTTTCCCCATTTGTCAGGGAATTTTAAAATTTTTCCCAGTTTTTTGGCTTTTTTTGTCAGGGAATTTTTTTTAAAAAACCTGCTGGACATCCTGGCAAAGAAAAAATCCTATACATCGGGCTGAAAAATAAGAAATTCTTATAGAGAGGTCTGTAAGTCCTCCTTGAGGACTGTTCATGACACACAATGCTGAAAATTAGATGTTTGACTCCGCAAAAAAAAAGTCAGGCGATTTTTTTCTCGTAAACACGGAAAGTCTAGCAATGGATTAAATTTTTCATTTTTGACATAATTTTTCTCTCCCTCTCCTCCTTTCTGTTCTACTAGTAAATGTGGTTTGGATAAATCCTTGGGTGGTCGTTTGAATACATTTTTAAGATGGTCTCATATTACAATATGGAGTGAGATGCCAAGGAACTGGAAATTCAGTGTCACGCAAAATTAAGATGGCCTTTGATCTTGTCATTTTTTTGGTTGTCTATCATTTGGTTTATGTTTCAAGCGCTAGCTTCATTCTCCTTTTACAATCAAGTGATCTTTTTCTTTCTTTCCTCTAGTTGCAACTGTCAGAGGTAATTATGCGCGCTCGTAACTTTGTAACTGAAGTTATGGGAGGAAGAGGTAATGTGATTGGGCAGAATTTGAGCAAAGATGACCTCATTAAGAAATTGAAAGAAAGAGGAATCCAAGACACGGAGAAATTCCTTGAAAAAGTTGTTGTTGATGCTCAAGGGTAAGTTCACTCCTCCAATTTTTATCCTTTTTCCTATTTTTTAGAAAATTAGAAAAAGACCCTCACTCAATTTCGAAAAAATACCTGTAAAGTTGGATGATTCCAAAGGTGGATTTACTCTTTGCTCAAAATTGAAAGTTTTTGCATCAAGTGTCTTTATTGTTGTTCAGGAAGGATATAGTAGATGGTTGTAGTCATTAGAAAATCCAACTGCTCTGCTAGACACTAGGTCAAGATATATCAGTAGTTTTTCTCAGTTGTGATATCTTTTGAATGTTTTAAATTCTTTATTAAAAGATTAATTTTGTCTCCATAACTACTCCTTTTGCTGAATCAAGTTAGATCAGAATCACTGTTGCAAAATGGGATTTCAGCCTCAGATTGAAATTCTCTTCAACTGGATCAGATGTTGTCAAATACGTATGTCATTGCTGAAACATAAGAAACAATAATAAAAAAATCATTATAACAGGTTTTTTTACTTTTTTTTGTAAACAGAAAAATAAAAGTAGAAAAGTTTAAAAAATGAAGGAAAGTAACACATCTGATCAAGCTAAATTGTATAAATGGAATGAATAAGTAGTGAGTGTTAAACTAAACCTGTGCTAATTCGCAATTCGACATTACAATAAAGAAGATTGGTCATATCTTCCAATGGCATTGCCCCCGATGTTATGTGAACATCCCAGCCTTTAATTTGAGAAGTGTTTTACACCCGTTTTGTTCAGTACAATGTGAGGTTATTAAAAGTTTAGGAATGCACTGCTTGTTAGCATCATTGAATTTGAATACCTGTACTTATTGATACTTCCAATGTTATACAGAGTTATCCATCTTTTCCCCTGGAGTGGATTGATCGATGAAAATTTTGGTTTGAGTGAAACATTCCGTGTTCCAAGCTTAAAAGAAGGCCGCATGGTCAGATTATTGTCTCAGCTCTCTCAAAAGGAAGAAGAAATGTTCCGCAACATGGTGCGAAGGTTGAACACTCTAGTGCGGGTAAGTTTTTTGAAGATATTTTTTTATCTGATGTAAGTTAATGAGACCTGGTATCTGCTATAAAGCATCAATATCTTTCAAAAAAGTTGAGTGCTAGTATCACACATACATTCCAGGTGTTGTGCGTGTCATATGAGTAAAATATGCAAGGGATCATCTGTAAATAACTGATGATAGGTTTATCAAAGTTTTTCATTTAGTGTACGTGAGTGAATATACATTTTTAAAATTTTAAACTTGACCAATTCGTTTGTTATCTCCCTCCTTTTGTATATATTTTATGGTTAACTATGCAAAAGATTGATTTGAATTAGGTGTTTACAGATTTATCATCAAATCTAATCCATAGCTCAATTACTCTCTCTCTCTCTCTGTTAAATGGCGGACAGAACAATTGTGCTTATAACAATAATTATCTATGTCTTTTTTCTAGACTGCTGAAGAGTTAGACGTACGCATAATGGTTGATGCTGAGCAAACTTACTTCCAACCAGCCATCTCTCGATTAACATTGGAATTGATGCAGAAGTACAACACTGAAAAGGTATGAACATTTTTGGAAGTCTTAGTTCTTCAGCACACTAGAACTTAGTTTTTTTTTATCCATGAACGGTTCCTGAAGTTTTTCAAAATGTTCAGTTAAAGTGGAGAGAAACTTTTGTTGCCTCTGGGCTCTGACAGCCTTCATGGTACGGCTTTGAAAAGTCTTTGAATACTCTTCAATAATTTTTTTTGAATTGTCTACATACTGAATAACTCAAATCCTAAAATTTTATCTGGATATATTTAAAAATGCTTAAACAAATTTCTAGGTTCCCGGAGACAATTTTTGAGAGAATTAGTGCTTTAATTTTTATCATTTTCATCATTTCTCTGTTACTCTATCACTTTATCATATAAAACAGAGAATAAAAATTATAGCTACATTGAATTGCTTCTCTCAATGAACTGGCGAAAAACGTTTTTCAATTTTTGTCTCTAGAAAGAAAGTAATATTATAGTTTTGTTTGCTTCCAGTGCCTCTTTTTCATTTAAGTGTCAAAATTAAATTATTGGCTTTTTTTTTTACAGGCAATTGTATTTAATACATATCAGTGTTATCTTAGAGAGGCATACAATGAAGTCGTTACTGATCTCAATCAAGCCAAGCGACAGAAATTTTATTTTGGTGCTAAATTAGTACGAGGAGCATATATTGAACAGGTAAACTTTGATTTTGTATTCAAGACAATACTTAGTTTTTTCTTTTTCCAAGCTAGTTCATGGCATGTTAAGTTATCTGTAGCAACTCCGTGAATAGCGTCTAATCACAATCTTATTTTCCTGAATAATGACTGGCTATAGTTTTAATTTAAGTTTTACAACATTGGCCAGAAGCTCCTATAATTAAGAAATCATGGTACTTGTTAAGAAAAGCATTGAGCTTACAATTGATGTAATAGCATTTTAATAATTACCATATCGTTTATAACAATAGTTCATACAATTTTTTCAAAGGAATTCATCAACACTTCAGCCTCTCTTACCAGGAGCTCTCTTACATCCTTGAGGAATGACATAGCACCAGCATTTTTGACGAAAAGTTTTATTTTTAGTGGAAGAGCATGTTGTAACTGAATTGCTGAATATTTATCATTTATTATTACTCTCAGAAATTTTCAGAGAGGTTTTGACGTTTGTAATATTTTCATATCTAGAATTATAGTGATGGTTAAGGGATAAATCAGCTAGTTCAATAAGTGCATTAGTTATTAAAAAATGTATGCTCTCAAAAATATGCAGTGATGGTAACATAAATAGCCTAAGCTTAAACAACAGCAATTGTTTGCACCATGCACTTAAGTTTCTTTGCAAAATTTGCAAATCACATTCCAAACTTTTTAATTTCTGAGCGATGTTCCCCTGATACTTGAAACGAAGAAATATCTGTTACCATCTTTTTGCTCTGAGCTAGATTTATATTTTCTTCAAGTAATTTTTTGGGTGTCTACTGTACAGAAGAATTATGTTTAACTGAAAAAAGCACGGATTTTGAAAGGTTGGTGCAGACCTATTGAAATCCACGGACTTTTCATGAAAAGGTCTAAAAAGTAGAGATTTTTACAATAAATTCAATGAAAAAACCGAAGGGGTATGCAATTAATTGATATACGTAGTTCATTTTATCATGCTCCTGCTAAATCTTGGCTTACTGCGTAGTTTTTCTAAAATTTCCCTTTTCCAAATCTGAATTTCCTTAACCTCTGCTGTAATTTGTCCCAATGAAAGTTCAAATTCTATGTCATGTAAGGAAAAAGTGTGGAAAGGACAATGAAAGAGTAAGGACTTCTGGAAACCTCCAGAAAGAAAGAGGTGTGTGAAAAAACGGCCAAAAATGCCTCAAGGCATTTTCGAATTTTGATCACTGGGGGTGATACAGTAGCTTCCGAGACGCCCAAAACCGGTCGCCGTTTTGCTTAGAAGCGCCGGGTTGCGACGTTGCCATTTTTTAAAGTGGAAACCTTTAAAAATTCATGTCTCCGCCGGATCTCAACCGATTTCAGTGAACTTTTTTTTAAAATGTTCCTCTTAAATAGAGCTTTCTAGTGATGTATAGTTTTCTGGGGTTTACTTGGCTTTAAGTGGCACTTACGCGGTTTTAGCAGTTTTTGATAGACACAAAAATTTAGTTTTTATTTTACCACGATCGTGGAATCGACGGAATCTAAACAAAAACCAGTCTAAATGAAAGTTCAGATTCTCACCTTTCTAACGAGCACAAGATCATCCCGGGGAAACGTTTAGTTTCTGAGATATGACCACTCAAAGTTGGTCACATGCGCTTTTGCGCAATGTGAATGCGTCTTATCACTGAGTCATTCGCGAACTAGGGGTCCCTAATGTTCAATTTACGTTGAAATAATTACACAGAACAGTAAGGTGTGCAACACGAGCCGTATTTTCACCTTCGGCTGGCGATGTGCGATGTTACCATTTTTTGAAGTGGAAAAATGCATAACTCCGCTGCATTTCAACCGATTTCAATGAACTTTTTTTTTAAAATTTTCCTCTTAAATAGAGCTATCTAATGGCATTTAGGTTTGTGTATTTTATTTACCTTGGGGAGGCACTTAGGTCGTTTATATGGTTGTTTGCAGAGATTTTTCATACAAAAAANGTCAAAGTGCGTCGTTGAAGTGTTGGATCGTATGAATTCTCTTGTTGCGCTACTTGCCTATTTTGAATTCTCTGTAAATGAAAACCAAAGGGGTTGATATATGCGAGTTAATGACGCGCCTTATCAACACATTGTGTTGGAGTTCACTGCTTGTTTTTTCTTTCTTTTTTTCTTCTTTTTCCCGCGGGTTGTGGGAGGGTTTGAAATGGCAAAATTTAAAAGAAAGAACTTTAAAAAAAGGGATTCTTTAATCACTGTTCTTACGTGTACAAATATTGAAAGCGACGCTCTCATTGTACAAGAGAAGGTGGTGTTGATAATTTACAAAGATTTTTGCATTATACTTTAAGCGATGGTGATCTTCCGATCTAGTTTGAATATTAAAAAGAATCGGGGGAAATACAGACCCCCTTCCGAAAAAAAGGAAAAAAAGAAAGAAAAAAAATAGCAACACTATTTTTTTGTATGAAAAATCTCTGCAAACAACCATATAAACGACCTAAGTGCCTCCCCAAGGTAAATAAAATCCAGAAACCTAAATGCCATTAGATAGCTCTATTTAAGAGGAAAATTTTAAAAAACAAAGTTCATTGAAATCGGTTGAAATGCAGCGGAGTTATGCATTTTTCCACTTCAAAAAATGGCAACGTCGCACATCGCCAGCCGAAGGTGAAAATACGGCTCGTGTTGCACACCTTACTGTTCTGTGTAATTATTTCAACGTAAATTGAACATTAGGGACCCCTAGTTCGCGAATGACTCAGTGATAAGACGCATTCACATTGCGCAAAAGCGCATGTGACCAACTTTGAGTGGTCATATCTCGGAAACTAAACGTTTCCCCGGGATGATCTTGTGCTCGTTAGAAAGGTGAGAATCTGAACTTTCATTTAGACTGGTTTTTGTTTAGATTCCGTCGATTCCACGATCGTGGTAAAATAAAAACTAAATTTTTGTGTCTATCAAAAACTGCTAAAACCGCGTAAGTGCCACTTAAAGCCAAGTAAACCCCAGAAAACTATACATCACTAGAAAGCTCTATTTAAGAGGAACATTTTAAAAAAAAGTTCACTGAAATCGGTTGAGATCCGGCGGAGACATGAATTTTTAAAGGTTTCCACTTTAAAAAATGGCAACGTCGCAACCCGGCGCTTCTAAGCAAAACGGCGACCGGTTTTGGGCGTCTCGGAAGCTACTGTATCACCCCCAGTGATCAAAATTCGAAAATGCCTTGAGGCATTTTTGGCCGTTTTTTCACACACCTCTTTTTTTAGAACAAGTGGAAAAAGTAAAAAAGAAGAAAAGGTAATGAAGAAGCAAGGGATTTAGATGATGTAGTAGACTCCCTAAAATTGTAAGTAATCAAGACCGCGCTTGACGTTCAAACATCGCAGGAAAAAAGTATTCGAAGAGATTCATAGTCTTACAAGTGAAATTTAAAATTATTACTCTGAAGTCTTTATAAATTTCAACTTTTTTGTGAACACACTTTGAAAATTCCTTTTATTTTTCTAGGAGCGGGCAAGAGCATCAGCTCTAGGCTACCCTGATCCTATCAACCCATCTTACGAAGCTACAAGTGAGATGTATCACAAAACTCTGACAGAGTGTCTTAGTAGGATCAAAACTTTGAAAGATGCTGGTGATGACCCGAAGAAAATCGCCATCATGGTTGCCTCTCACAACGAGGATACCGTTCGTTTTGCACTTCAAAAGTAAGTTTGTCATTTTATATGTATTCTGATGGCTGTTATTTCGTTAAGAGTTGATTCAATGAAATAGGGTTGGAATTGGTTGATACAAACTTTATTCAATTTGCCATGGAGACCACTGTCAGCAGAAAGGAACCGGAAAACATCATTGTCTGAGAAAAAAATTACCAATGCAAATTTTGCCCTTTCGTAAAATCTAACGTGAAAGTAACTTAAAAATTCAGTTCATTGGTCTTGCTTCTGTGACCTCATAAGTGTGGTATCAATGCTGCTCTAAGGATCGTGTAACCTGTTGCACTCAAGATCGTCAAATATGGAAAAGATACGCAATACTTCTTTTTTTGCCTTTCTTATGATTAAATTATTTAGGAGATCATTTTCAGTGTTTACAAATGTACAGAAGTCAAGGACAAGAAACCCCCACATTGACTTAAAACATGTTGTATTTGTTGCGCTGAATAAATCTCATGAAAACAAAATGCATGATCTTTTCATATCTTCCGTCCTCTTTTTTCAGAATGGACGAAATCGGAATTTCACCTGAAGATAAAGTAATTTGCTTTGGTCAATTGCTTGGAATGTGTGATTACATAACCTTCCCTCTTGGTAAGTTCTACAAATATTTTTCTTTAGTTATATCTTTATGATATCCTCAAACATCCATTCCTTTTTCGAAGAATGGAGGGACTATGAAATAAATAATTTTTAGGTCTCTGAAAACTGGTTCGTATTTAGATTAGAAAGACAGTCCTAAAAATTAGTGTGCCTTGATGTAAAACAAAAAAAACCATAGTGTGACAGCAAAAAAAAAAAAAAATAAAAAAAAAATCATAGAGATGGTTTATTTAATTTGGAGCACATTATGGACGCTCCTGCCTCCTATTTTGTTATGAATCAAGTCATGTCAGAGTGTTTTTCCGTATCTTTAAATTTCACTCACAGTTCTAATTGGTTCAGAATAATTTTGATTCTGCCGAATTCTCATGTGGTTGGCTTTATGTTTCTTCGTGTGTTTAATTGAGCAAGATATGAATTGACACCTAGTATGTAATTGAGGCGTTAGGTGCAAAAAGGGCGTTGTTTGATTATCGTGTTTCAGAATCTCCAGTGCTAATCTTCATTTTAAAGAGAAAACCATCGAGTGAATTTTCTGAAATTTTTAGTTTTCAGCTCTGCAAAATCCTAAAGAATATTCAGTTTGAGTTACAGCAAATTACATACATTTTTTTAAATCATAACAGATGAAACGTTAGTGGAGATTTTGAGACATTGCAACCAAGTAATGCCCTCTCTGCATTCAGCGCTCCAATTTTTAATTTAATTAAAAATAAAAAAAAGAACAATACAAATTTAGATTCCTCTATTTAATGATCAAATCAGCAAACATCCTTATTTAAGTCAGTCATCTCTCATGAAAAGATAGGTAAGTTGGACGATTTTCTGAAAAAAAAAAGAGAGTGGATTTTGCTTTTATTTCTTATTGATGAAGAATGTTTATGTTATTATCTGCCTAAGTTGGAAGGTTAACTGTAAAGGGGTTCACAGTCATCAAATATGAACTACATTTTCTTAATCCTCAGTTTTCTCTTTTTCTCATGTAGAATTTTTAGAGTAACGATCCAGCACCACTACTTGTGCTAAAAGGTTTTTCTTCTCTTCTCTCCCTAAATTTTAGGTCAAGCTGGATACTCTGCTTACAAATATACACCTTATGGCCCGGTGAATGAAGTTCTCCCCTACTTGTCTCGAAGAGCAATGGAAAACAAAGGTGTTTTAAAGAAAATTGAGAAGGAAAAAAGCTTACTGCTCTCAGAAATTGCGCGACGCCTCAAGTCTGGCCAAATATTCTACCGACCTCGTGGAAATTACAGACCCATTTAAAGTGAATGTTTTCATTGGTAAGTTTAAAACAGTTATTTATTTGTAATTAATTTTAGGATATTTCCCACTTTTTTTTTACGTTTAATTTTCTAGTTCCTAAGTTTTCTCTTCAATTTCGTCCAATTTTTGTGTTTCTTTTTTATTCTCACTTCATCTCTTTTTGTTCTTTTGAAGTTCGTTAATTGAGTCATCCAAAAGTTTAATGAGGCTGTTTTGTGTCAGATCTTTTGGATTGTTAACTGTTTAAATTATTGGACGGGTTGGATTCTGCTGCAGTAATGCAAATCTTAGTGTGATTGGTCAACTTGAAAAATTTTTCTGTTTTTTTCTGTGCATTTTGTAGAGCTGTTACGAGAAATAAAATTCTCAGCAAAGTAATTAGAGCAGTATTATCAGGTATATTTCTTCTTTTTTTTAAATGAGAAGTTGAAACTCATTATTCATCTTAGGGATTCAGCTCTCCAAAGCTGTCTTTAGTTTGTGAAACATTTTAACACTAAATATGAAGAACTCCAAGGCATCCTGTTATGATGTCTCCCTTTGATGCTTGAGTTAGACTTTGATAGTAATACACAGACCACCATCTTCATTACATCTGAATGTTTGCTACAACTGAAGAGAAAAAAAATAAAAAACATCTATGATAAACGAGCTAGGTTTTTCCTTTCAATATTATCCATGTCTGTCCCTCGAAAATAGAAAAAAGTAACTGAGGGATGATAAAAATTGAACGATTTATTATGAATGAATGAATTATGCAGATGCATGCCGAACCTCTTGTTTCTTTCTTTGGAGTCAAATGAGGAATTACTTTTTTTTACATATTATGAGTAACCATAATTGCAAGCTGCAATTTTTCACCGAATTCTGCTCAAACATTTGACTCAAACTTGTTTATCATAACCTACTGCATTTTGAATTTTTAGCAAAATTTATTAATGTTCACTGTTAGCGTAAGTTTTAACTATATTAATAAGTTTATTGAAGTGTGAAGTTATTAGCATTATTTTGCATTGTACTTTTTTGAGCAGACTTGCATATTTACATGAATGTTCAGTCAATTTTGTAATAACCTAAAAGGTAATCGTACTAGCCAAAGAAAAACAGTTCTATGAAATTGTAACTTCAATATTGCTCAAAGGTTCAAGCTCCTGAAGCTGTCATAAAGAAGTTTTAGAATCTCCAAGCACAAATTATAAACTGTATTGTAAAGTCTAAAGTTCCTTTTAGAGTTTTACTTTACTTTTAAATTAGTAGGAAGAAGTTTGAAACCAGGTGCAAATGATATATCCTGTTAGTTTTGAACACCTACTTCTGAAATTGTTCTGATAAGCTAGTGCATTGGTGTTCATCAGCAAACTCTCATGGTGTAAATATTTACTTTCATTTTGGACTGCTAATCTAGTCCAGATTTTATAGGTTTTAAAAAAGTGATTTTGGAACATTAGTATTAAGTCATAAAAACAGAACTGTTTTCAATGTTCAACATCCTACAAATATTTGGCTGCTGTAGTTTTATATTTTAATTTGAGAATAAAATAGAAAGTGTTAGAGTTGGCGCAAGTTGAATACTTCAACATTCACATTTATTTTGAACTGCAAGGTTTGAAGTTAATTTACTTCAGCTTTTACTCTTCCATTATCTTTTTTTTTCTTGCACATCAGTTATTTCCATGATAAACGACCGGGAATTGAAAATGGAGTCATAAGCATAATTTTTAATGAATTGAGAAAATAAATTATTAGGAAAATCGATTGAAGCAAAAATTTGTTGAGGAGAAAAAGGAATTTTCTCAAAGAGAACACCTTTTATTGTCTATACTTATTTCTAGTAACTATTTCTTATTGTAGTCATTTCAGTAGTTTTTGGCGATCCTTCAATATTTAAAGACTACGCTCAATTTGCGCTCAACACAAGTGCAGCAGTTTTGAAATGGAGCCTGTGTATTTTCTTTTTTTCAGGTGTTGGAAATGAAATTCATTGCTAGAACTTCCTCGAAAGTTTAGTCAGTCAATTTCAAGAAGCGTAAGCTTCAGTTTTTGAATGGGTTGATCTAATACCAAACTTTCTTTTTTATATAATGGATTGTGCATCATAATCATGATTTCTGCTTTGCCGTCTGTTGATGTATAACGTGACTGACTTTCATTTTTTTCTCTGAGATGGTCAGTCTCATGCCAGATAAATTCTTTTTTTTTGTCTTAAGGATTTTCTCTTGTTTTGTAATTATTCAATATACATAATAAACAAATCTGGTACGTAGGCACTCTTTGCTGCCTCAATCACGTATTATAAAGCAAGTTTTTTGTAAATCACTGAAACAGTCTCATTAAACTGTAAATCTTTTATTTTGTTTTCACGCTCTCTTCAGAGAATGCTCTCCATGTGACTTTATGTACAGTATTAATTTTAAAAGCAGGTGATTGTAAAATAATTCAAGAACAAATTGTAAGGAGTCCCTCTGAAGCTCCTAATTTAATCCTTTTTACAAATGTATAATTTTCCGGTATATCTTCTCCTTGTGAATTAAAATCCAGTTCATTGTTCTAACTGAATTGTTTTAAATTGTACGATAATGTTGTGAGAAATTGTGTTGTACGTTACCAGATTAAAGAAACCGAAATAAATGTCATTTTATGCAAATGAGCTCATCGATTATTTTCCATTTTATCTCAGAAAATCTTAACAATTCTATCTGTTACCGTCAAGGTTCCAGAAAGTAAGCTTAAAATTTTTTCATATGCTCCTTTTTTCTTGAAATCTCTCGCTAATAATCTACATTGAGAGGAAATGAACATTTTGGTATCTCGCTATGAATGGAGAAACCATAGTTTCATCCTTACTTTTTGTTCTTTCATCAATCCACGGTTTGAAGAGATCGGTATAATCAGATCCATTTTATGTTTTTTTTCAAAAAATTTGTATCATCACTAAAAAAATTATTCTACCCTTTATGGTTTTAAAGCTTATACAGTTCTTTTTCAGGCTGAAAATTTTTAAGTCGCAATTTTTGAATTATCTCAGCTTCAAAAATTTTCATCTCTTATATTTTATGTAATGATACTGAGTCGAAGAACTTCAAACTTTTTGCTGCCAGACTTTAATTGTTTGAAATATGCATATATTCTTGTTTCTGTCTGCTCGTTAAGTTAATAAGCTGGTACTGAGAATTTGTGGCATATTTAAAATGATAATTGATGCAGCATCCATGTTAATAATATCATTGGTAAGAGATGAATTCCTGAAGATGATAGGGGTGCAAAAAGTTTTTAAGCGCCGATCATTCCTTGCAATCCAGCATTATTGTCTCTCGGTAAGACTTCTGATTTGTCTGAGGGCAAGACACTCCATCGGCTCTACTTTTTCCAAAAGATGAACAGTAGAAAAAAACTAAGAGCTCATCACCCTAGAAAACTGCTTCACATTTGCTATGCTCTGCTGATTGCATAATTGGACACTTTTTGCGCCCCTGGAAAACTTTGAATGAAGTAATAACTCGATTATCAGACCTGTACTTATCTGGTGCGGTAATGAAACACCGTCGACACTCCAACATTTTTCTCATGAAAGAAAATTTGGCAGTCGCCAAGAGTCAAGTGCTCCAATGGTGACAGGTAAAGAGTTTCGGGTGGGTATTCCTGACACAATATCATACCTTTGTTGGTGAATTTATTCGTCTTATGCAACATATTTTTAGACTCATTTCATGTGGTTTCGTGTGTTTTCATGCATATTTGATTATCCAGTATTTTCGGTATCTAAAGCTGGCTTTGCCACAACTTATCAGATAATGGAGTTATTATTGTAGTTCAATATATGACATGGAGTGGCAGCTATTTCAGAATGTCATCAAAGCTGCATTATGACAAATATTTGTTCCACATTCTTCTAAACGGGAGGGGAAATTCTTCTAAAATTTTTGCATCTTGACTAGGTGTAAATTTCATAATTTTCTCAAGCTGTAAGTCCATGTACGATAACGTCATTCTTGGATTAATTGTTCTTATATCTGGAAAAAAATAATTAAATTCTATCAAACATGTATTTTCTGCACATACCAAGAAAATGAATGTCCCATTTAAAGCGCAAAAACTTTGAACAAATTTCCTTTAAAGAGTCCCATGAAATATTGATCAGGTATGAAGTACAATGGCATTTAATGCATATTTTTATTGCTAAACTTAATAGCTTCTGTCATTACTTCAACCGTTAGGTTTATACATATAGGTATACAGTTGTATTGGAACAAAATTTTGTTGTTGTTGTTTTAAGATAGGTACAAAATATCGTTTGTCAAAATTTACCTCAGATCTCAACCATTCTGAGGTAAGCTTTTCCGTGTGCCTTTCTTTACTTTTTAACAGAGGGCTTAGGACACAATTATGGACTTATGGAATGGAGGAAAAATTTACATCTAAATATGTAGTTTTCTGTGATTCTGCATTTGTTCATGCTTGTGATAGGTAAAAAGGAGCCATTGATTTCATTTGGACGTATTTCTGCCAAACAGAACTATGTGCATCAAGACATGAGCCTTGAGACCCATAAGAATTTATGCATAACAGGGCTCACGTCATATTGCACATGGTTCCGTTTGGCAGAAATATGTCCATTCAAGCATCTACCTATTACATGCCAGTATGGTAACTACCTCTATTTGATGATTTTCTTTATCTCAAAGACTTTGTATTACTCCTTCTATCTGAACTTAATCGTTCATCTAATTCTAGAATAATTCTGGCATTTTTGACACCACAGAATTGAGGACCTCTCGGTAAAAGAGCATATTATTGCTCCTCTGATGTAAGGGCGTACCTCAAGAAAGGTGTGAGCCCTGTTCTCCGTATAACTATATGCCCTCAGGGGCTCATATGAAAATGAGGTTATGCTCCGATATCAGGTCAGCGACGATAGAGGCCTGCAACACTGATAAGATTTTGCAGCTTATCTCTGAATGCGCAACTGACATCTAAAAGCTCTCCTATGCCTTTTTCAAAATAAGCTCTGACTTTTTCTTCTTATTGCTGTGAAAGCAATTCGACTGTAAATTAGTTCAGTTTTCCACTAATGGCAAGTGAAACTGCATACTCTTAGCTGTGTTGTAAGCCTTTTGTGCCCTTTTACCAAAGAATTCCTCAGTTATGATTTTTTTTTTTTTTTTTTTTTTTTTTTTTTTTTTGAGAAAAAAAATCATTAATCAAATTGTCTTGAAATTGTACATGAAGAAGTCAATAGCCTGTTTTAAATAGGGAAATCTTAAGAGCTATTTTTTGCGGACGCTCATATCTTTTTTACGATAAATTTCCTCAACAATGATTCCTATTTTGCCTCTGTCAAATGAGCTATGATAGCTTTAGCTACAAAACACTGAAAAGTGACAATATTCTCCATGTCTAAAATGGTCCTCTCTCTTATCTTCATTTTTTGCCATCAAGATACCTCTGAATTTATGAGTTCAGATAAATTATTTTCGTGATAGTTCGACACGCAATCTTGATGGTAAGTATAGTAATTGTACTGTAGGTTGTGTAAAATGAGAGTATCAGCTTCTAATGCAACTTTGATTTGCTCTAATTGTCTTGTCCACTGTCCATTATCACTTGACAAAGTATCCACTCAACAGTTTTTTTTAGCTTTTTGAAGGTTTTTAACGATTTTTTCTCTTGCCTTTTAAGGTAATAAGAATTATTTATAAGGTCTATAGTTCATCAAAATTTAAAAGATGGAAACCTCTGATTCATCAGAGTACGGTTTCTGTTTAGTGTAATGAAGCTGAAGGAACAGATGAGTAACTGAATTTTCTGATGACAAGTTTGTGCAAAATAGTTCTTTTCGTTGGTTTTCTGATTGACGTAGTTTCTTGAAAATATTTATGAAGAGGTTGATTCCTTGAAATTGTTTTTGGTAACTTGTCAGAACCAGGATCTGTCTTAATTTTTTTCTAAATGAATAAAATCCTGGATAGGAGAGGAAATCCTCAGAATTAATTCCCAAGAAAGTTGTTATCACCCAATTAATTTAGAATGATGTGTAGGTTTATGTGTGATTCATTAAGTCAATTTTTCTTGCTCTTTCTATGAAGTATCATATCAGGCTCGTATGGAGCAATTTTTTATCTTTTTCTTCTGCCATGGCATTTGCGGTTCAACATAGGGTTTCTGTTCCACGCTAATTTCACGCCTTAAATCTCATGTACAAGTAGCAGCTTTATTTTATAAGTGAAGATAGTAGAAAGTCAGCTGAGTACAAAAAAGTTTGTTTAACTTGGTTCAGGCCTGCCTGATGGTGAGATCAGCTGGAAATCAGTTTCACGCCAAAAAAAATGTAATGAAGGAATCCCTGTAGTATTTCAAATTGATCATCAGCTTTTTGTTTATGACTCAAGGTTTCGCTTGTTTTTTAAAAAATCATTCTTTTCTTCTTTTTTCAGGTATTCTTGAAGAATTTTTTGAATGACTCAAAAGTATAAATTAAATCGTGAAAATTCAATTATCAATGAGAATCTCTTGAAACAAACCAGGAATATATTTATTAAAGAAGTTCTGTAACTTGTAAACTGTAGGAAAGGACAATGTTCCTAAATCTTGTCCTCCTCATGTTATCATTCTAGTCTCTGTGGCTCTGAAGAACTGCTCCTTGATTCAATTAATGAAGAGTTGTGTGAAAGCTTCCTACGATGTATAATACAGCATCATCATTAAAGGCAATTAATAGCAAATCATATGAAGGACTTTAGCACCAGCCCAGTTCGTGTATCTTGTAGTTTTTTCCCCTCTTTATTTTTCCTATCTCTAGTAAATGATGCCAAAAATTGTCAGAAAGGCTTTTTAAGTTAGTTTTTGAACTGTTGAAATAGCTCTATAAGATGTTAGTTTTGTCCTTGTGCATCATACATTGACGATGCAATTTAAAAAAAAAATCCCCAGGAAATTTTTCAATTATTATCAGAAATGATAAAGCAAAATCCTGACCTAAATAGCAACGCTCTTTTCATTTAATGTGGCTAATTTTAATGATGTGAAAAGGAACTTTTCTTTTTTGTGGCCGTAAAAATAACGTAATGGCAAGCATCTTCATTTGTATGTTTTGATGTCAGGTACACACATTCACCTGAAGGAAGTTGTGTTTCTTGCACTTTGGTTCGTATTGATACTCGTTCTTTCAACATTAAGTCCTCTCTAAACAATGTAGTTCTTATTGCTTAAGGAAGCCTTAACATTTGGAAAAGACTACGCAAACAGTCCTTGGGAACTGAATCAAGATAGAACTCCACAATAAGTGAGGTTTTTGGGCAAGGACAACAGGGGCAATTTTTCATTATTTTATGAAGATTATTAATCATTTAGGGAGGATTTGTTTTTAAAACCCTCCTTTAATAGATTGCTTTCAAATTCCTGTAGTGGAGACACCTTAAATCCTCAGGTCACTTTCTAATTTTAATTTTTTATGTAAAGATGAAGAAAAGAAAATTAAAATTAATTAAAAATTCTGCAACTTTAACTTTATTAAGTTTTACAGTTGAATTAAGACACTACTCCAAGACTGTCAGTTGACATCCAGGGTTGCCATAGTCAAGGAATTTTAAAAAAGTAAGGGATAACCTGTGAATGTCAGGTTAAAATTGTTGAATAAATTGGTCTTAGAATG